CCTGCTTTCTCAACTTCTATTCAAAATTATATTAGAAGTTTTAGCTCAAGTAATTAGGCAAAAAAAAAAAAAAAGGCATCAAGTTGGAAAAGAAGAAATAAAATTATATTCACAGATGACATGATCTTAAGTATAGATAATCCTAAGGAATCTACACAAAAACTATTTGCACTAATAAATTCAGCAAAGTTGCAGAATACAAAATCAACACACAAAATGTATTTGTATCTCTGCACCCTCCAATGAATAATCCACAAAGGAAATTAAGAAAATTATTGCATTTGTATACCAATAATTATCCAAAATAATAAAACACTGAGGAGTGAATTTAACCAATGAGGTGAGACTTGTATAATGATAACTACAAAATATTGCAAGCTTCACAGTGTTTTGTTTTGTTTTGTTTTTTTCTCCCCACCTTGGGTGGGACAGGATGGCTTAAGTTCACAGTGCTAGGTATTTCCCTTTCCTCAGGTCAGTTAGGCTTTTAATAACATGCTAGTAGGTTGTCTTCTGGTTAACTAGTTTTTCCTGAGGTCAGGTCTTGTTATGAAGAACATAGTGCTCTGATGTATTTAAAATCGGTTTATTTTTCCCTTTCCCTGCCAATACCATGAGAACTTTTTTTCCCCCCTGATACTTACTGTGGGAATTTGGTCAAGCTCCTGGAGATGAAGCTTGCAAAATGTGAGGCTTCCCTATGACTGGTTCATCCTGGAGTTCTCCAGCAACTCACAATACAATTCAGATTTTTCTACCCCAGCACTGGTTCCCACAGTGGTTTCCACTCCCGAGTCTCTGCTGTAAATAAGCCATGATTTTCTGTATTTACCTGTTTATCTTTTCGATCTTGGGGGCAGCAGCTTGCCCTGTGTATTTACCTATCTTTTAGATCCAAGAAGAGTTAACTTTTTCCTTGTTTTTAGGACAGAATAGTGACTTCCAAGCTCCTTAACTGTAGAACTGGAAATCCCAACTCTTATCTTCTTAACCTGAGGATAAAATGCTCAGGTGAATCTGCCAATTCTTCTCTGTCTCTAGCTTGCCTTTACCATTCTTAATGTAGTTCCTTTCCAATATGCCTCTTTAGATAGTTGAGAAAATTCATTTCACTGCACAGACATGTTCTGTTTCACCCTTCTCCTGAGTGCTGCAGAGAAGCCATGGTGCATAGAAAATACAGAGCAGCCCACTTACCCTGATCTTATTTCCACTGGACATTCAGTGCCTAGCTTGTCAGGTGACCTCAGTAGGTTAAACTCTGTTTCCAAGGACTGCTGTATGGTCTTATCCTGTATTTTCCCTATAAGTGCCTCCTATAAACTCTCAAGGAAGCTGAAGTCAGACTATGGCCCAGACTGTTCTGATTATCTTTTCTTGGGAGTCCTCATCTAATAGTGGTAATTTTGTTCTCTTCGTATGCATCTGTGACAATGTTTGCTATTCCATTTTTCAAAACTAGACAATACATTGTATAGGTATACATATATCAGAGAGTCTTTCATGGGGTCCTCTGAGAAATGGATTTGAGTGTGTGTAATTTACTTTGGTGGTGATCCTAAGAAATATTGGTAGGGGAGAGAGCAAGTGAAACAGAAAGGGTAGGGGGCTATGTTATTTAACAAATTACCTATTTGGGTAACTGAAGTGCAATACTACTAGAGAACTATGTGAGCCAGAGTAATCTCATTAGGCTCCAACTTTCTAAATCATTGTTTGAGAGCTGATGGGCTTATTAGTTCCTCAACATTTCTGGCCTAATTTGTGGACTTCAAAATGGCTTTGGTGGCAAAGGATGACCCCAAGCAAAGAAATGCAGGTTCTGGAAGTTGGAGATTGTCCAGTAAAAGGTAATGCTGAGTGGATATGGACAGGATACCAACAGCGTCTGCCACAGGAGAAAAAACTTTAAAACAAAGCAAGAGAATGACCAATCCAAAAGTTAGGGAAAACTGGATACTTCTTTTGGAGGTAGCTAGAAGGAAGAGAGCTATGATAGGGGAATGTCCAGGGAACTGTAAGCACCTAGTATGTTCAATTTCTTATTATGGCTGATAAGTACATGTTATTAATTTTTTCTTGACACTACACATAAATGTTGTAATATACTTTTTAGTGAATGGTATATATTTTATAATAAAATTTTTATCAAAATAATAAAAGACAGTTTCTACTAAAGAATTTGGATACAGATCAAGTAAATATTAAGGTTTTATAGATGTCTTCCTTCACTGATTTTGGATGAAATTGTTAGAGATTTAGGAATCAGTAAGATGGAAATCAAAATACTACTTTTATTACTGATAAAGTTAATTGAAAAATGTAGCCTTAAATCTGCAGCTAAGTGGACTTGCTATTTCTTACCTCCAGAATAGAACTTACTAATAATAATTGGCACAACCAGCCAACTACAGACCTCAAAAGAATCCAGGCCCTGGCCAGTTTGGCTTAGCGGTTAGAGCGTCGGCCTGCAGTCCAGAAAGACCTGGGTTTTCTTCCTGCTAAGGGTGCCTACCTCAGTTGCAATGGGTCGTGCTAAGGGTGCCTACCTGGATGGGTCGTGCTGGTGGCAACCACTTGATGTGTCCCTTTCACGTCGATGTTTCTCTCTCTCTCTCTCTTCCTCTCTCTCCCTCCCACTCTATCCAAACAAAAAATGGAAAAATGTCCTTGGGTGAGGATGAAAAAAAAAAAAAAAGAATTTAGAAGTGGCTGGACTGTAATTCCGTCTAAACTCTCCTGTAAGATTAGTCACTTCTCTTTCCCTGGTAATGAGTAAATGAAGGACAAAGTCTAGAAGTTTAATTTAGCTAAAGTTTCTTCTGTAAAGATTCACAAAAAGTGAGGAAAAATTTTCCCATCTCATGGTATACATGTAGTAATTTATCATAAAAGTGGCATTACAAACAAATGGATAATATAATAAATGTATTAGTGTTTCTGCCTAACTTTCGAAAATACAGTTAGATCTTATAACTGTAGATTTCATAAAGCCACTTTGTTTTCTAAATATATTATACTATAATTAAAAGTTTTTAATAAAACTATGTGTGATATGAACTCATTTTATTGAAATATACACATGTTCATTTACATACAAATACATTTATATGTGAATCTGAAAAGACATATACCAGAATATTAGCAGTTGTATTTGCCTTTTTTTTTTTACAGTGACCATGTCTTTTTAATCAGCTAAAAAGTAAAATTATTAGTCTGTAAATATTATATAGCCAATTGATACTCTTTTATAGTCTGAATTAAACTAGTAGAACAAAACTGTTTTTTTAAAGGAATAATTTATTGACTTTTAGAGAGAGCGGAAAGGAGAGAGAGAGAGAGACAAATATCAATCTGAGAGTGCAACAGCAGTGGACTTCCTCCTGCAACCCCCCCCCCCCACACACACACACACACACTGGGGATCCAGCCCACAACCCGGGCATGTGCCCTGACCAGGACTCTTACCAGCAACCTCCTGTGCCTGGGACTACACCCAACCAACTGAGCCACACAGGCCAGGGTGAAAGAAACAATGTTTTTAAATTTGTAAAAACTATTTAGACATACCTAAGACTCAAAAAGCCTCAAAACACAGGTATAGGTAGGAATACTTTTTTCTGATACTAGTTAACTTAGTTTTCTTTAAGAATATATAACTTACAAAATTGGAAGTTTGTAATCATTATTATTCCATCTTGTACATAATACTGTGGATGTGATTTGAGATTTTCTATTTTTTTAGTAATTTATTCAAATGAACAAATGTAACGATGGTATCCAAAGTAAAATTACCAATGTTATTATCTTCAAAGAATAAACAACTGTAAATCACTCTAACATTTTATATTACTCCTTTATAACATGCATATTTATTTATGTAACAATAATTAGTGGCCATGTAATGATATATTTCTATATGCTCAACTCAAAAAACTTTCAGATAAAGGGAGAAAAAGAAGGTTAGGTAATTCAGCACTCAAAGGCAGTTTCTTTCTATGATCTTTTACTTCATGAACATGGAAATTATACCCCTTTCAATTCAGCAGAATATACTAGGTATATATTCTGTGTATGACTTTGCTTGATACTATTAAAATAAGTTTAATAAGATAGAAATGTTATTATGAAATGCGAGTTAACCTACCTACTAATTGAAAACCTTGTTAAACACCATTTTATACCATGAAAAGGCTTCTAACAATGAAGTAGTTGCATTTATTAGCTCCAGATCCTGTTCGTATATTCAGGGAAAAAGTTCTTTATTAAATCATTGTACTTTAACTGAAAGTTTAGTAAGTTTAGCATGTAGGAATATATTGTTATGTGGTAACTGATAAAATAATTGCTATATAAGCCTTTTGTTTTTATATCAGCAATGAAGGATTGGGAGCTTTTTTTTTTGGAGACATTGTTATATTTGCTCATTTGAATAAATATAAAAAAAATTTTAAAGAGAAGTTAACCATACTACTCTGCCGGTGTTTGAGAACAGAGTCTGTCATTTTTCCAGTACATATGATCTTTTCACATAAGTATATAGGAAAAATTTCTTAATAAAATGGAATTTGATGATTATAAATAAAAACTTCTGCAGAATATAACATGTTGTTATCTGTAAAGAAATATTAAAACCTTGTCATAACATGATTGTCTGAGTCCATATCGACTGAAAGACTAATGATATGCTGCACCTGCTTGGAATAAAGAGAAGGGAGGTGTGGGAATCAGAAAGGATGGGAGAATAATTTGGAGCTGTCACCAAAACACTAAGGTATTGGTCGATGCTAAAAGTGTGAAGCCTAAGGATTTCTTAAGGTGTCCATGATCTCTCGCTCTCTTTTTAAAAAAATTTTTATTCGCTTCCTGCCATTGTGGTTAAATAGTAGTATTATTTTTTTTTAGATTGTAGATATCTTAGATTTTGCTATGACTAGTTATGTATAAGCTGAAATATTAGAATTTGGTTTATAGTAATTTTTACATTTCTGTCTATTTAGGCATAATGTCTACTACTTGGGATTTGTATGATTCTTTCGTTGCTCTGGAGCTTTCAGCCGCATCAGTTCAACAACCTGTACTTGATTCTGCCAGTAAAGAAAATACAAAACGATCTTTAATTGAGTCGAGCAGTAAAGGAAGTGTGCTTAAAGATCGAGACCAAAGAGGGCAAGGAAGTACTACAGAAAAAAGTAAGATTTCAGTTTTTGAATGAGGTTTTCACATGGTATTTTCAGTAAATTCTTTTTTTTAGCTGTTATAATATTTTCTTTCTTGTGAAACATAAAACGTATTTTTGTGTCTCTGTTCATGAGGGATATTGGTCTGTATCTTTTTTTTGTACTTTCTTTGTCTGGTTTTTGGAATATTGATATCATACATTGAATTATGTTTTCCTTCCCCTTCTGTTTTCTTGAAGAGATTGTGTAGAATTTGTGTTCATTTTCAAGTTTATCCTTATTGTTGAAAGTATTACAGATGTCCCCCCCTTTTCCCCCTCGTTGACCCCCTTCCACCGCACCCCACCTCGCTGCACTATTGTCCATGTCCATGGGTCATGCATATATACATATAAATTCTTTGGTTAATCTCTCTAGAATTCTCCAGTAGAATCATCTGTGCCTGGAGATTTGGGGGTAGGGGGCGAGTTTTTACAATTACAAAGCCATTTTCATTAAATTTGCCGGCTCCTTCAGCTTTATGTTTGGAATATATGTCACAATAAGAAAACCCAGAGAATTCACAACCGTGTCATTCTTTGGGTCCTGAGGAATCTAGTTGCTCTGCCTTCTGCTTCCAATGTCTTTTAAATCCTTCTTATATTTGATATATATTCCAGGATTTTTAGTTGTATTTAGCAAGAGGAACAGGCAGAAATGTGTCTATGCCATTTTCATGGAAGCAGGACTTCCTTTATTTATATTTTAAAAATAAGAGTGTGGCCCTGGCTGGTTTGGCTCAGCGGTTGGAGCGTCGGCCTGCGGTCCAGAGAGACCTGGATTCGGTTCCTGCTAAGGGCACGTACCTCGGTTGCAGTTTGTCCCCGGCCCTGTTGGATTGTGTGGGTGGCAGCCGCTCGATGTGTCCCTTTCGCGTCGATGTTTCTCTCTCTCTCTCCCCCTCCCACTCTATCTGAACAAAAATGGAAAAATGTCCTCGGGTGAGGATAAAAAATAAATAAATAGAGTGTGCTAAGCAGTGTGGTAGGCAGAATAATAGTTCCCCCCAAATGTACACATACCAATCCCTGGAACCCGTAAATATCTTACCTTACATGGCAAAAAAGACTTTCCAGGTGTGATTAAATAAAGATCTTCAAAGGAGGAGATTCTCTTGCATTATTTAAATGGGCTCCATCTGATCACATGTGTACTTAAAAGTGGAGGACATTTCCCAGCTGTGGTCAGAGAGAGATGTAATGCTGCTGACTCTGAAGATGAGGGAAAGGGTGTGGGTGGCCCCTAGAAGCTGGAAAAGACAAGAAAATAAATTCTCCTCCAGAGCCTCAGGAAAGGAACATAACCCTGTTAAGTTCTTGGTTTTAGCTGAGTGAGACCTGCATCCAGACCTCTAACCTACAGTACTTTAAATTAACAAATTTGCATGTCTTTAATCCAGTAAGTTTTTGATAATGTATTATAACATCAATTAAAAAACTATCACAGTAGTATAATATTCCTATGAAGCAATGATTAGTTTAGATCTCTATCTGAAGAATGAGTCTCTTATTTTAATTGAAATGAAAATGTATAGACATAAAAATTACCTCATGAGGTTGTCATTGCCTAGTTTCCAAAGACATTACATTTTTTAGTGCTTGAGAATTCCAAATTGAGATAGTATATGTATATCTTGCATGTGCTTGGTACATAAAAGGTATTCAATAAATGTCCATTGAAGTTGTTGGGTACTGGAATGAAACAAATAATAATGACAAAATGTCATTTTTTAAATATTTAGAATGTGTGAATCATCCAATATTATTTGGATTATTTTATCATTACATTATGCTTGTTATTTTACAGATAGTGAAGCTAGTTCTATAATGGAAATAGAAAATGTAATTCTGGCTAAAATGCATGATGATGAAGAAGACAACTCAGATGCAATATTCAAATCTGAAAAGTTTCATCAGGACTTATTTTTTATGGAACGAGTTATAATGGAGAATATATTTCAGCCCAAACTTGCAGCTTATCGTCAGCTTCCTATTTTAAAAGGTATTTAAAAATTACATTTAAACAAACTCAAATAATTAAAAAAATTAAACGGTGTTATTGTTTCTAAATGTAATCTCTGCTGGGTTATCACTTATCAGACGATGTGTTTATGTAGCTTGTAGTCCTAAATATGTGAGTAATAGTAGTGTCCAGACTACAGAGCCCACAGTTGTAGTTCCTTAGATTCAAAACTCATAAGCATCCGTAGCTCCCTTGTCCCTGCATTAAATTATTCTTTCATATTCAAACTTCTGTTTCCATTACCACTGACACTTCCCAGGTTCTGGCTTTTATTACCTCTCCCTAATTTTATTGCAGGATCATTCTTCCTATTCTCATTGCTACAGATTCCATCTCACATGTTCTCAGAATATTTTGAAGAATTTTGAAGATGATCTAATTCAACCTTTCAGTAATTGAATGAACAAAATAAAGGGTATAGAAATTTTCTAAGGTTACATAGTCTATGACAAAACTAGACATTCAACCAAAATCTTTCGATTCCATTGCAGTTCTCTTTCCACTCTACTGTCCTGACATGCTGATGTATCATAAACACATGTTTGAATATGGCATCTAACTGCTGAAAAACCTTTAGTACCTTCCCATTGCCCAGCATAAATTACAAACTTTATATGCATCATATAAAGATACTTGCAATCTGGCCACAGACTACTTTATCTCATTGTATGACTTCTGAGACCCTAAAAATTAGCCATATTATATTTACCTGGTGATCCCCAAACAAAACCTAAACATTTCTGCCTTACCTTTAGTTGGAATATGCATGACAGTCCACCTCTTGGACCCATCCCATCTTTGCCTATTGTACTCCCATCTTTCACGTATGCATTGGGGCAAACTGCTTTATGAAATCTTTCTTGATCCTTCAAGTCAAAATCAAACTTCTGTATGCCTACATCAAAAAATTTGGTTACAAAATAGCATGTTTAACAAATGGTTGTAAAGTTTTTGCTGACATACATCTAAGAATATTGAAAAACTATGTCTCTTCTCTCATATAAGATTGTTATTTAACATTTTCATCATATATGTAAACTTTCAATCCTATATTTAAACAGCTATAAGGTTGAAATTTACTTTATACTATGCATTTTGCCAATTAAAAATATATCTGTTGATAGATCACTTCTTTGAATGTATCTAAGAAACAGAAACACTATAGAAAAAATGTTAATGAGATAAGATTTACATCTCCAGATATTTTAAATGTATAGTTTGATACATTTTGAAAATATATAAGCCGGTGTAACTAATACTGTAATAGAAATAGAGAATATATCATCAATCCCCAAAATTCCCTTGTGCTGTTTTCCAGTTTCCCCTTACCCACTATAGAAGGCATTTACCTAATTTCTCTCAACAGATTAGTTGTTTTGGTATATCATATTAAGTGAGTTCCTATAATAAGTATTCTTTGGTGTCTGACTTCTTTCACTCAACGTAATGTTTTTGAGATTCATCTAGATTGATGCGTATATAGGTAGTTCATTTTTTCCCCAAGTACCATTGCATTTTATGAATATACCATAATGATTTGTATATTCATTCATTTTAGATAGATACTTGGACTCTTTCCAGTTTTGGACTATTATAGATAAAGCTGTTATGATCATTGTTGTATGTGTTTTTGTGGACATATATTTTAATATCTCTTGGGTATATACCTAGAGATGGAATTATTGGGTCATTTGGTAGATGTATGTTTAACTTTTTTAGAAACTGAAAAATACCTTTCCAAGGTACTTGTACCATCTTATAATCCTACAAGCAATGTACAAGAGTAGTGCTTTTTTGTTGTTGTTGTTATTTGTATATTTTCTTTTGTTTATTTGTATGTTTAGTTAAGCCCATTGCCTACATAATTTTTTTTTTTTACTTTCAATTTTATTCTGTGCTTACTTTAAAATTGAGTTGTTGTTTTTAAAATCAAGTTGTCAGAACTTATTTTTATGTATTTTGGAATCAACCTCTTTGAAAGATCCATTTATTACAACTATCTTTTCTAAGTCTATGGATTGCCAATATATTTGTCTTTTCTTCTTCTTTTTAATCCTCACCCAAGGGTCTATGGATTGCCAATATATTCGTCTTTTCTTCTTCTTTTTAATCCTTACCCAAGGACAAAGAGAGAGAGAGGGAGGGAGGAAGCGAGGGGGAGAGAGAGAGAGAGAGAGAGAGAGAGAGAGAGAGAAAGAAAGAGAGAGAAAGATTGAGAGAAATATTGATTGTTTGCCTTCCACAAGTGCCCAGACTGGGGATTGAAACTGCAACCCAGGATATGCCCTGACCAGGAATCGAACCAGCAACCTTTTGGCCGCACCAATATATTTGTCTTTTGATAAAGTTTTTAAGCTTTTTCTTTTGTAGTTAATGTTTTTCATGCCCTCTCTAAGAAATTGTTGCCTGATCCAAGGTTGCAAATATCTTTGTTTTGTTCCTGACCTTAGAGCGCAAGATTCAATATTTCATTGTTAAATATGATAATATAGTTTTTTGTAGATGCCTTTTATTGATTTGAGGAAATTTCTTTCTCTTTCTAGTTTGTTAGACATTTTTTAAGCGATAAATGAATGTCAAATTTTGTGCAAAACTTTTCTACATTCATTAAAGTGATCATATACATTTTCTACTTTAATTTGTCAATGAGGCCAATTACATTACTTGATTTTCAAATCTTGAAACAAATTTAATCCCTGTGGTTAAACATCAGTTGGTTATGTGGTATTATCCTTTTTATATATTGGTGAGTTCAATTTTCTAATATTCAGTTAAGAATTTTCCAACTGAGTTTATGCAGCATATTTTTCTGTATTTTCTTCCCCACTGTAAAGCCCTTGATGGGTTTTTGTATCAGTGTTATGCTAGACATAAAATAAGTTCTGGAAGTCTTCTCTCAATTTTTATTTTCCAAAAAGATGTGTATTATTTCTTTTTTAATTGTTTGATAAAATTTACTAGTGAACCCATCTGGAACTGAATTTTCTTTATAAGAAATTTTCAAATTGCAAGTTTAATTTTTTTGACTATAGGGCTATTCAGATATTCTCTTTCTACTTGTGTCAGTTTTGAAAATTTGTGAGGAATTTACCCCTTTTATTTCTGTGGTTGAAGTTATTTGCATAAAGCTCTTCATATTATCCTCTCCATAAATTCTACTTTTAATATCTATAGGCTTTATAATGATATCACCTATTGTATTCTTGATATTATTTGTGAATTTTCTCTTCATATTTCATAGTCTAGTAGGAACTTTCTCAATGGTATTCATCCTTCAAAAAACATCATCTAGCTTTTCTTTCTTTGCCTGGTTTTAAAAAACTTGAATTATTTCCATTTTTACTTTTATGTTTTTGTTCTACATTATGTTTAATTTCCTCTTTTCTTCATTTTTTTTTATCCTCACCCGAGGACATTTTTCCATTTTTTTGTTCAGGTAGAGTGGGAGGGAGAGAGAGGAACAGAGAGAGAGAGAGAAACATCGATGTGAAAGGAACACATTGAGTGGCTGCCACCCGCACGACCGACCAGGGCCGGGGACACACTGCAACCGGGGTACGCTCCCTTAGCGGGAACCGAACCCGAGTGTCTCAGGACCGCAGGTCGACGCTCTAACCGCTGAGCCAAACCGGCCAGGGCTCTTCATGTTTTTTAAGATAGAAGTTTGATAATTGATTTCACATCTTTATTCTTGTCTAAGATAGGCATTTAGTACTATAAATTTACTTGTAAGTACTATATTAGCTACATCCCACTTATTTTGATATTTTGTAATTATTCAGTGAATAATAATTTTTAATTTCCTATGTGGCTTTATTTTGAGCCACAGGTGAGTTCAGTGTGTGTTTTTTGATTGTTAAGTTTTTAGCAATTTTTAATCTATTTTTCTCATTGAATTCTAACAACACTATGTGGTGGCCAGAGAACATATTCCATATGATTTCTCTTCATTGAAATTTATTGAGACTTGTTTTGTGGCCCAGCATATTGTGAATATTTACACTCAAGAAGACTGTATATTCTGTTGTTATTTTATGTGGTATTATTTAAATGTTAATTTTGTCAAATTGTTGAAAGTGTTTTCAAATTTTTATCTATATTGACTTTTTGTTGACCCTTGCTATCAATTAATGAGAGAGTAATGTTAAAATCTCGAGTTATGATTATGGATTTGTTTATATTTATTTTAGGTTTATTAATTTTGGTCTATATATTTGAGAGCTTTGTTATCAGGTACATTCAAACTTAAAATTGTCTGTCTTATGGATGGTTCCCTTTTTATTTTTTATTTTTATTTTTTTAATATGTTTTTATTGATTTGTCAAAGAGAGAGAAACATTGATGTGAGAGAGAAACATCAATTGGCTGCCTCCTGCATGCCCTGTATTAGAAACTGAGCCCACAACCTGGGCATGTGCCCCCAACCAGGAATTGAACTGGGACATCTGAGTCCTTGGGATGACATTCAATCCACTGAGTCACACTGGCTAGGCTGGTACCCTTTTCAAAAATCATTATTTACACTTTCATCATTAGGAAATGTCTGTTTTATTCTGGTAATACTCTTTGTCTTGAAGTCTAATTTGTACAACATCAATATAGCCAAACTAACTTTCTTGTCCTTATTTTTTGCATGGTAGATATTTTTCCTTCCTTTTACTTATAACATTTTAATTTTTATATTTAACATGTGTCTGTTGTAAACAATATATAGTTTTGTCTTTATTTTGTTTTATTTTTTCCCCCCATTTTTTCCCCCCAGCCTTCACTACATTATTGTCTGTGTCCATGGATTATACATATATTCATATATATTCTTTGGTTGATGGTCTTTTTTAAAAAAATGTTTTTATTGATTTTTTATTTTGTAATTTTTTTGCATTTTAATTTTTATTTATTTTTCTCCAATTTTTATTAATTTATTTTTGTTACAGATGTTTCTCCTTTTCCCCCCTAGACACCCTCCTCCCCATCCTACC